GAGATTGAGGCAACCTTAAGCATTAGTGGGACTAGCTTACCTTCATTTTTGCATGAACATTTGACCGTAAAAAAATTTGTTGGCGTTGGATCCCACGCCACGACAATGCGAGCTCCCACACATCGGCTCAGACAACTTCATTTTTGAGCACTCAAAACAACGATTTGACTGGTCATCAGCCATGTAGTACCCGGGTGACTTTTTCTCATCCCGTACGTAAAAAATAAAATGAGAGGTCGACGTTTTTCGACACCTGAACAGAATGCATGTTTTAGAGACCTTGATCAGAGTGGCAAAAGTGCTTCGAAAATTGGTTCGAGCCCATACAAAAGTGTATGGATCTTAATGTGGGGAATTTTGGAAGGCAGTCAAGCAATTTTCAATAAATAGTATTTGTTCCTGTTTTCAAATCCCGAAATATAAAAGACAGCCTACGTATCGATAGTGTTGAGGAAGCCATTGCCAAATTTAGAAATTAAAACTGTTGGATGAGTCTATTATGAGCGCTCAAAGTTTCCATGCTCAAAACATGGAGAGATGTTGCCTGTTGGCAGGCGCAGTTGCGCGCAACGACCTTAAGGGTCGTCGTAGCGCAGTGGCTGTGCTCGCCCTCGTCAGGCCAGCAGTTTTGGTTCGTTCCCCGTACCCGATTTGCTTTTTGCAAAACGTGCTTTTCTTCGAATACACTCTTAAACCGTTTTTTGTAACTAATTCATGTTAGGGCTTTGTTTCGGCTATCACTATCTATTACCTATCAGCGCACGTATTTAAAAATGTCTCCACCTTATTTCTGGAGCGCTCTTTCATTTTCGTCATTGAAACACACACTCCCAAGAGATTGTATGGTACGTAGACACGCGAGAAGCTCATCTGCGAGATGGCGCTCACCGACGAGTTCAGTATGTGGAGTGCGGACTCAGCCTTTGGGCAGAGCTCCACAATTGCAACTAGTCAAGTGAAATTTCACGTTTTTATTGATCTCAACCTAAAAATATGATACGGGATGGAAACGAAAACAAAATTTTTCCATAGAAGGCAGGAATCGGACTTAAAAGAAACAATTAGTACTTAGTAATTAGTAAAACAATATTGCGCTATTATCGACTAGATCAAAAATACCTCTGAATAGCTACAGTTTAGCTAAAACTACAATCCACAAATGTACAAAGGAAACCGGTAATCTGAGAAAAAATGGCGCATAGTGGTGACGATGATATGCTGACATTAACGACAGTTGGAGCATTAGAGTGTAGAAAAGTGACAGAATGTCCGGAAGACGATGAAAGCCCTTGGATACCAAGGAGGAATAAATCGAACACATCAAAATGATTGCAAAAGCACCCGGATCGTCATAAACCGTGACTGAAGCGCACAACCTCGGCAAAAATCTCTCTAGGAAACATTTACAGGGACACAAGCTCAAACATTTCGCCAATAGTTAGGCGGTTGATTTCTGCCCAAATCCATTCGAAGTACTGTCGCTCCAGAAGGTGTGACTTCCGTGGTGAGTACGGATGACGATCCACCATCGGAATAGGCCGAATCGTCACTCATCTTGGATGATGGGGGGCGGATTACTTTTGAAGGTGTTGTACCCTGGGCAGGAGGTGGCGGTGGTGGAGAAAAATCTGGTGGAGGGCGATGATGGAAGATCTGAGGTTGGTAGGAGGAATCCAGATCGAATGATGGGTAATGGATGGCAACACCTGGATGTGGAAACGAGGAGGCCATACGAGGTAACATATGGCCTGGTACCATCTCGCCATACGCAATTGTTGCGTAGTCATAAGTTCCTGAAACGAAATGGAGATCAAAAGAAATAGTTGTAAAGGTCTTGACAAGAAAAACAGTACCATTAGGCTGTTGCGGTGGACGACGCTGATAGTGGTGGATGAGTGGTTGTTGAGGATAGGCCGAGCTGAGAGAGGATTCCAATCCACGAGGAGACGTGTGCATCTTCTCGGATGTAGGATACTGGAAATGGGAGTAGGTCAGCTTGAAGTTAATAGGAGTTTAAAAAGCAACGAATGGGAGGTCTTCGGGATGACATCTATCTAAGACATTTAGGTCGAGTGGGCAGGTTTCCAGAATTTCTAAACCCTCTGTTTTTCCAAAAACCGGCAATTAAATGTATCCCACGTTACTCAGTCTACCTCCAAGCCTCAAAATCTCCCCTTGGGGAAGGTTAAAGCCTATGAAACAAATATACCATTGGCATTAAAGAAATTAAAACTATACTCCGCAAGAAGATTAGTACTCACGATGAACTCGCTGCCACTTCTTTCCGACGGCGACATGGTTCCACGTTTTTGTAAATCCCTAGAGGTATCACGGGAGCTGGAGCTGACACATGAAAGGCCATGCTTGCCACACCATCGGGCAATATCGTAACGCATCTGTAATAAAGCATTTAACTCATGTAATTTTTTCAAAGAGGTACGGTAACACGCTACCTTTTCTGAGCAGAGCACATGGAAGACAAAGATGAAAAGACCCTGAAGGGAGTTCGCAATGGTAAACGCGTATGCCATCACTATCGAATGGCCATCATCAATCCAGAGAAGACCACAAGTCCAGGTGACGCCCAGGAGACAGACCAGACCCATTGCTCCTTTGACCCAAGTCCTGGAAAAAGGGCATTCTTAGAAGTGTTCCAGTATTCTGGCACAAGGGCTTCCTTAAGAACTTTCAGAGGCGATCCTTTCGCTTACCTGATATCACCTCCGTTATCCGCAGCATGCCTACAGGGGATATACTTCGAGTGCCTGTATACAATGCACATAGTCATGAACAGGAACATCGTATTCGTCAATAAAATCACAGCTGCTGGTGCGACAAAGAACAAAATGAAAAGATTGTCGGTACGTAACCTGAAAGGTCACAATTTCGGTGTGAAAAGGTGTTGAACTGAAAAAAAGCAGGGTACGACTAATGACTAACCAGCAATGATTGCGCGTTCCAAAACCAGTCGGGTCGTAATAAGCGGCTGCTCCAGTAATGATAGCTGGTAGGCCATAGCCAACTAGGAAAAAGGT